CTCAGAAGGATTAACTGCTTTAGGGTGTAAGGAAAGTGGAATGGGTGATGTGAGGAATTCTTCTACTGTTGTGGTATGGGTGGGGTTGGTTTCCGGATGAGAGGTGAATGTTCTGGAGAGGTATCTGGCGAATTCCTCAGCTTTGTCTTCATCCGACGCTGCTAGGAGCTATGGCATCGACGGAAGGGATAGGAAATATGATGGGCTTTTAGAATTTCGTGGGTGATCTTCCATAGAGAATTGACATGAACAAAGAGGGAAGTAAGGTAGGAGTTGAAGGATTGGGATTTGAAGGTGGCCAAATCCTGCTTTAATCCTTTACTGTAATAATTATAAGATCAGCGATCGGTGGGGTATCTTGAACGTTGCCATAATATTCTGGCACGGCGTTCGAAATGAATTAGGTCTAGCAGGTATTGAAGTAAATTATTTTTCTTAGCAATTTTTGTGGAGAGATTTGGGGAGGAAGCAGTCCAGATTGCTTGTTGAATAGTGGTGGTAACAGAATGTAAGGCATTATCAAGCCCTTCTGGGATTTCAGGGTTATTCTGAGGTCAATTTTATCGGAAAGGATTTGATAAAAAAGTTTCCAGTTAATTGGACCTCTGATGAAGGACGGTGGAGGGGGTTTAGGAATAGGAGATATTGATAATTGAAGTATTAATAGACTATGGTATGAGGAAAGTTCAACAAGACGGCTAAGGGAATGATTGAGGGAACCTAAACGACTGTGGATGAAAAAATCGAGGATATCAGGTTTGCAGTTAGGATCAGTGAGCCAGTCGGTTGGTAAGTTGGGTGGAAGGAGACTGAAAGGTTGGGAATTGAGTGCAGATAGCAATGTTCTGCCACGAGAGTTCATGGTTCTAGAACCCCATTGATGGTGTTTGGCGTTTAAATCTCCACCCAGGATGAAATGATGTCCTAAGGAGTCGAGAAGAGAACTGAACTGGATATTGGATATGGATCTGTTAGGAGGGCAATATGCTGATGCTATGGTGACGGGAAAGGGAAGGTTTTAATTACGATAGCGGTTGATTGTAGGAAATCTTGTGTCGGTAATGGGAGCTGGTGATGGGAAAGGGAATGGTGTACAATAACAGCAGTACCGGAATGTGCTTTACCGTCAGGATGGTCAGTACGGTATGTTATGTATTGAGGTATTTTTAAATGCTGTTTTCTGGTCAGTCGTGTTTCCGTAATTAGTGCTACGTCGATGTTCATGTCCAGTAATAAAGCTGTTAGTTCGTCAACGTGATTTCTAACACCATTCGCATTCCAAAGGAGAATGGATATAGGTTTAGGGATGTGAGTCTTTTTAGGATTTTTTAAAGGAGAGATGAGGTGAGATACGAGATTTGTGAGGAGTGATATGAGTGGAGTAACTAAAGATTTAAAATAGATAAGGAAAGATGCCGAAAAACTGGTGAGATCTGTTGCATTTGAAGGAGGAGGGATATGATGAATTTGTTGTTGATTTTCAGGTATATTCGGATCAATAGGATTTTGAGGTTGGGGTTGAGGTTGTTGTTGCAGCAGGGCTTAACAGTTATCGGTTGAGCTCTTGCCTCTAAGTAGCCGGAAAAATGATTAACTATTGTTTACTATTCTAGAAGGCTCTCTCTCTCTCTTGTTGGTCATCTTGCTTCATCTTGAATCCGGTTTTTTTGGTGTCTGGATTTGAGATTGTTGTAAATTTGGCATCCTTTGTAGTTGGCCGGGTGTCCCCCCAGGCATATTGCACACACTGTAGGCTCTTGTATCGATTTTGTGCACTCCACTGATTTGTGCTGTTCACCACATTTCACGCAACGCGGCAGATGGTGACAACAAGGGATTCTGAAATAAATATGTTCAATGCATTATAGAGGATTTCACATGAGTGATGGCAGAACACAAACATTAATATAAGTGGACGGGGTGGCCGAATGGGTTAACGCATGTGCACAGCACCGCCGTCGCTCGGCAACCTGATATATCAATCAAATGATATAAAAATAGTCACGAGTTCGCATTCCGGTGCTGAGGGAGTCTTTTAAATCCCCGCCCACACTTCTTGGCCCGGGAAAACCCGTATAGCCATAACGGCGAGGAAGGGGGGAATCAAAAAAAATAAATAAAAGATGGTGACAACAAGTCTTTGTGTGGCCATACGCTTGACAATTAGGCACTGCACTATCTCTCTCTTGGGGTATGGTTTCTCTACTTTCACCATTCTGTAATATAATCTTGTGATATCGTATATTTTCTCAATTCCGAGTGATGACTCTAGATCCAGGAAAAATAAAAGTAGTGGAACTTTATTTTTTACTGCAGGCTGCTCCTTATTCTCCTTCAGAACGTTGGTTACCAGACGTACTTTAAAAGCAAGCGCCGCTAGTTCTTCTTTTATTACTTCAGTTGGGGTTGAGGAATGTAAATTTCTTATTACTACTCGTAACGATCTCTCCTGCCTAAGCTGGTAAGTATGAAAATTCGCATTCGTTTCTGAGAGGCACTTATTTTAAGAGGTAATTATTCGGTAGGTTTCAGCAGTATCTGATGTTATTTTTGTATCGTTGGTCCTGTTAAGACATGAATAACTGCAAGAGGAGATTTTATTTAGTTGGGTGCAGAACAACTGGAAATTTTTTATATTTTTCACAAATATCGGAAGAGGCCTTGGTTGTGTGGGTATAGCTGCAGACTCCATTACCTCTCAGTCATTTTGAAGCACTTGGTAGGGGTTTGAAGTAAAGAAAGGGGATTCTTCGATCATTTCTTGCGAAGAAGTTCCTGGTTGTGGATGAGGTTCTGGTTCTGAAGTGTTCACTTTTGTAGTTGCAGATGTTTCTCGTAGGCAGCGAAGAGTTCTTTGTTTGGCTGGTGAGCTAACTCCGTCTGACCGAATCCTCTTGGGCACCTTACTGGACATCACTTGGTGACTATACCGCATACTATAAGAGAAGAAAGAAAGAAAAAAAAAAAGAAAAGAATTATAAAAAATATATCTACCAGCAACATCAACTGCTCTGGCGTACACGTGAAATGTATTCAATGAAAAAATCAGAGAGATTCCGCTGAAAAATAGGCAAGTACAGACAGACCAGTTGAGAGCACAACCTTCCAATCAGCTGATCCACTGCATTCTCTCAAACATATTACCATCTATTTCGATATCACCAGTAATATCGCCATTTTTGCAGCTAAACATATATTTTGTCTTATCCGTGTTTATTTCGAGTCCTATTTCTTTACTGGCATTCATTAACGTTGAGAATCGTAAGACTATTTGAAATCGATATAAAGCTGGTGAACAACACCGTTGTACTCTTTTTTTTTTTTTACTAATTTTTTTCTCTAATATTTGCCGTAAAGAAAATATTTGATCAATAGTCGAATTATACTGCTTTGCCAGCTATGTTGTATCAAGACATGATCGGTTTGATTTCGTGTTTGCGAATCCGGTGATGTCCAAGTCTATTTATGAACATCCTTTTGTTTAAACGTAGCACTTTTAATTATCAAGTTTTTCGATATGGCAAAGTTAGTTGGGTGCAGAACAACTGGAAATTTTTTATATTTTTCACAAATATCGGAAGAGGCCTTTTGGCCGTTGTGTGGGTGATGCAAAATGTATTATTGTAAATCGTTCAGAAATAATATCAATCAAATAAAATAATTTATTCCTATTTTTGTATGTAGATCCAGTGCCTTCTAATCACATAACGCCTTTCCTCGAAAAAATAAACCTATTTATTACAGAATTAGTTGGAAAGGCGTATTTTTTATTTGAAATTCATTCTGAAAACAATTTAAATACCCTGTAAATGTGCTATATTTTAAAAGACAAAATCCTTAGTATTTTAAAATAATAATTATAAACTGACATTTTCAGAATAGCAATGAACTTCATTTTGCATCATGAACTTTTATTTCGATTCCGATTTTCAAAATGTGTTACCAAATAAATGAAAACAATTCTTTCTAGCTAAACCGTCGTATGAAAATATCTATTTAACTTTTTTTCTTTGAAGTGGAGTCACGATGACAACCCTGTTATTTGTTTTCTGTCAGCAAAATGTCAATATTTTTGAGTAATCATTCTCTGGATCAACAATGCCTGATAACATGTTCTCGACAACAGCCGGCATAACATTTGTTGTATTTATTGATAGTACAAGTTCAACCAAAGCGATTTTTCAATAAAACAACAGCTCATTATCTATTCTGCTTTTTTAATATGTTAATAGCTAGGTGCCATAAGAATAATTGTAAGATTTTAGTGGTCGATGACAAATTTCTGGATGTACGACAATACGAAATTATGATATAATAATTACGAATAGGCCGAAAATGACCCATGTGATTGAAGAGCCCGAAACATTTATAAATAAATAATTACGAAATTATCATTAAATTCAAATATTAAAAGAAAAATGGTGTAGTATTTTGTTGGAAATTCTTTGAGAATTCCATCCTAGTAGGTATTTGAAACAATTTTAATAATAAAATTGTTTTATTTTACACTAATAATTTTATAATAACCTGGTTTTTATATTTGACTCGAAAATACATTGGAAATAAAAGATCTCACCTCTTATGATTCGCAGATATTTTTATAATAAATTCCATTGCATAGAGATATATTTTTCAGTCATTTTATTTTAAAGTCGAAATCAATTTTATTTGAGACACCACTGATTATATCAATCGTCAGGTTGAGATATACATGACGTCTTGTTTAGTGTTTTTTTGTATTTTTATTTATTAGGATTTTTATAATGTAAGTTAATATTGATAGACAAGAAGGGGTATCTTATGTATTTTCAGAATGAATTTATATTTATTTTTGCAATGTTTTTGTATTGTAATATGAGTGGGATAAAATAGAATAATTGTCAATCTTTAAATATTTTTTTCTTTCATGAATATTTAACAGTAATTTTTTAGTATTTTCATATTTTTCAAAAATTTCCTGTGACTGGTCCTGAGAACAGTACAAATTACAGGTTGAATAGAAACAAGATGTTAATAGAACCGTTAATGAAAATCAACTAGCATTGGCTGGCTCAAGTAGAATAACCGTTGGCCCGGTGAAGCACCTCATCATCCTAACTCCCTGGTTCAATTACTATCTCTGATGAAGGTGGAAAATAAACATTGCCACGTCGGTAAATTAGTTAATTATTTACTCGCCTTTCTAATACAAACATCAAACACTATTGGGAGCACTTCGATTAAATTAAATATATTTAAGAAATTACCAAGCCATCTAAAGAAGCTCCTTTTCTTTACCTCTCAGTCTTTTAATAAAACTTTACATACATTAGAACCGGCTTATCCTTATCCGCGAATTCCGAAACACGGATTATCTTTACTGTTTTCCCCACGTTTTCTACAATAATCTGAGTAAGTTGTCATAATGCTGCTATAATCAACAAATTATAGCAGGAGGAATGATGTCAGCAATAACCGATTTGGTGTATTTGCTCAATACACAAGAAGAAACAACAAATTAAGTGTACTAAGCTAACGTAGTATCTCGTTACTTTGCTTGGCATACATCAGAGTTCACATAACGGAATAATTATGAATACTCGTAAAGCAATAATACCCTCTATAAAAACTAGGGAACAGGCCGTTGCGTGGATAGCGGCAATATAATCGATGCGATATATTGGGGTGCTAAGCCTTAGCAGTACATAAACGGACATATTGGAAAATTTTCAACTAAATTTAAAAATATAATTTAAAGAATTATATATTAAACTGAGGTGAACGTTACATATTCATTTGTCTTAATCAGGGTTGGTTTTATCACCCTTTAATATCAAAAGAACTATTTAAATGTGATTATCACTTTAGATATTCATTTACAAAATTATGTATAATCTCTTTAAAGAAGTATTCAATATAAAATTTATATAGCTGCATCTTCGGTTAATTATAAATTAAAATTAATAAGTGCAGGCTCTAATCGACTACTTAGAGCACTAAGAGACGGGTTCGATTCCCGCATGGAGACGGTGACGTCCTCACCCTGATATGAGATTCAGGGAGGTGAGCGACCTCTGTGTCTTACAACATAGCTCCTAGTCCTCCAGGTTGGGTGTTGGGTATAATCCCCTTTCCCATAAAAAAAACTGCAATATTGAAGGAAAAGATTGTCAACCATCCTTCAGGAAAGTTCCTGATGAAGAGAGAGTGAAAAGTGAACGCGCCCGGTTAGTAAACCACGTCCTCCTTGGATATCTCGAAGATGAGAGAACCAAACGATCACTACTGTCGGCGATAACAGCCCCAAGCTGCTGAAGAAGACTCATGACTTAAAAAGCCGAAGTCAACAGGCGTAGGGGAAAAAAAAAGAATTTAAGAGAGTTCCATATCTTGCTAGAAATACTGTATGAAGCTCTCAGGTCATTGTTAATCACAAAAATTCGTACTGAAACTTTTTAGTTCTCAACGCAGTAAGATTGCCATAAAAATCTACCTGGCATTACAATAAAAAAACTTAGGCATACAATGAAGAAAAACAATCCACCTCTATAAGAATGTTTCTGGCACCCTATGGAATGTCTAAACAGCTTTTACATATTTATTTTTCTAATGAACACTGATAAAATAATAATTATAGAACATTTCTCCATTAATTATCTAATTATGAGTTGGATATAAGTGTCCTAACATTTATAGCATATGTTATATTCCAGATTGTTAAGTTTGGCTGTACTATGAAAGTGCTGATTTCTGGTAATGTTACAGGACTGGGGAAGCAGGAGCAGTTTCCTAGATACTGTTTGATTAACGATTTTCCCATAGTATTATCTTCTTTTCCGCGCGACTGCAATCCAGGCCCCTATAATTGCAAGTTCTGCTTATTTCCAATAGTTCCTTCTCAATTATGCTACTTTTCAAGGTTAACGCAATGTTGTGTAATAGAATGATAATAAAAAAACATTACTTTAATTTTGTTTCTTTTATTTAATATAGAAATTCGATCTTGTCGGACGATGAAAATATTTGTCAGTTATGAATGTAGAAAACCAAGACCCTCTAAAATTAATCCAATAATAAAAAAAGATAAAAGAATATGAAAAAAAAAGAACAGTGGAAGGAGCAATCGGCAAAATAGAATCGCGAACAGATTGTAAAGGATAGCCTCTCTAGAATATTTAAAATATATTATGCTTGCCTAAAGCTACCTTTGGAAGCTTGATGTCCACTATGAACCATTCATTCATGAGAAAAAGTTTTTATTTTCTACAAGATTATAGATTATAGAACATTTAATTTTATAAATTAAATCAATGTATTGACCTTATGGTGATTGATAATTTATAACAAATGGAATAAGATTAGTTTATAAAAATAATTGCTAACTTATAGATCTCAAGAGCATTCAGAAAAACCTGTGTGAATAAGTATATGAATATGAAATCAGTTAGCTGTTGGGTCATATTAGCGGTAACGATAATAGTAAAACCCATTTAGATTTCGTAACGACAAGAACTAATTTACAATACCTAATCGAACAACTTAAAAGTGAGCACTAGAACTAATTTAAATTATTAAAAACACTCACAAAATTTAAATAAATGCATTTGGTGGTTGTTTTTCACATTCAGATATTTAAAATAAAAACTCTATAAAAACATTGACCGAAATTGACTGCACAGCTATAAATACTGTTAAAAAGGAGGCCAATGCCGAGAGTGTCGAGGATACATGTATTAAGCGGGACTTCTCTACGCGGGAAATCGGGTGGCAGGAGAATGACTGCCGGCGTATCTATCTCAACGAAAATATGACCCCTAAGAATAGGCACTTCTATTTGCTCGCAAAACAGGAGAAAGCCGTGGGGAAAATAAAGTATACCTGGTTCGCTTCTGGCTCAGTGAGGTGTAGAAAAGACGACGGCCATCAGGTTGTCCTCATCGACCAGGCACAGGATTTAAACGTCTTCGACTGACGGTTTAAATTTCGTTCACCATCAAGCATCTATCAACATTTTGGCACGCTCACCGGACTTTCATCGGAAACCTTTTATTTTACATCTCATTAGGGCTATTTATTAACTAATTTATTTTTCCCTTCTTTTTTTTTTTTTTTCTTTGGATGGCAGTAGATCACCTGATGCGAAGGTTGTATGTTCTCTACTCTTCTCTCAATTTTTGCCTATTTTTCAGCAGAATCTCTCTGATTATTCATGTAATACATAATAATCAAGTGTACATCAGAGCAGTTGATATTTACTGTTGACATCTTTTTTGTTAATTTTATTTTATTTTTTTCTTCTCTCTTATGATAAGCGGCATGATCAGCAAGTGATGGCCTGTAAGGTGCCCAAGAGGGCTCGGTCAGACGGCGTTAGTACACCTCGTGGTTCACCAGCCAAACAAAGAACTCGTCGCTGCCTACGAGAAATACCTCCAGTGACTAAAGTGAACAATTCAGAACCAGAACCTCAGCCCCAACCAGGTACATCTTCGCAAGAAATGATGGAAGAATCCCCTTTCTTTACTCCAAACCCCTACCAAGTGCTTCAAAATGACCGAGAAGTAATGGAGTCTGCAGCAATTCAGAGAACCAAGCCCTCCTTCGATATTTGTGAAAAACATCAAAAATTTCCAGCTGTTCTGCACCCAACTAAATAAAATCTGCTCTTGCAGTTATTCATGTCTTAACAGGACCAATGACACCAAAATAACACCTGATTCTGCTGAAGTCTACCGAAAAATAGTGAAGTACTTATCAGAAACATATGCGAATTTCACTTAGCAGCTGAGGCATGAAAGAGCGTTACGAGTAGTGATAAGAAATTTAATGACGAGTTCAGTTCTATCCTTAACTCCTTAGGACATCACTTCACCTTGACAATGCCGTACATTCCTTCACCACCACTATTCAACAAGCAGTATGGACAGCTTCCTCTCCAAATCATTCCTCAAGAACCTTTAAGAAAAATAGTTTACCCCAACACCTCATAGACCTAATCCACACCAAACGCCGTGCCAGATCATTATGGCAACGTACCAAACAACCCATCTATCGCCGCTCCTACAATTATTATTGTAAACTACTAAAGTAAAAATTATCATCCTTCTGATTCCAATCCTTTGATAACTACCTTACTTCTCTCTCTCTTTACGTCAATTCCCTCTGGAAAACCACTAAAAAAATCCTAAAATCCCATTACATTTCCCATCCCCTTCGTCGATGCGATGACTCCTGGGCAGCGTCTGATGAAGATAAAGCTGAGGAATTCGCAAGACACCTCTAGAGTACATTCACTCCTCATCCAGAATCGCATCCAACCCATACGGTAAAAGTAGAAGAATTCCTCTCTTCACCGATTCCACTCTCCTTACCACCTAAAACAGTTAATCCATCTGAGGTCAAACATCACTTACAAAAACTTCCTCTCCGCAAATCTCCTGGATACGAATTCCTAATCCCACAGATCCTTCGACAACTTCCACCCAAAGATACCATATTCCTTACATATACTTATAATTCCATCTAAAGAACTACCCACTTTTCTCTCCTATGGAAATATTCCACCATCGTCCTTTTTCTAAAACCAGGCAAACCTGCTAACAATACATCACCCTATAGACCAATTAGCCTACTCCTATCCTATCAAAAAAATTTGAAAAGATCCTACTGAAAAGAATCCTACCCATAATAGAATCCCATAAAATTCTTACAAATTAATTAGGATTTCGTTCCCAACAAGGATTCCGAATTGTCGACCATATATCCTCAGCCCTAGAAAAGAAGCAATAATGTCCGGGTGCATTTCTGGACATAGTACAGGCTTTTGGGCGGGTATGGCACGCTGGACTGCTCTTCAAGCTTAAATTCTATCTACCACAATCTTTTTTTTTTTTTATTGAGAAAAAATACATTTTGCCTCAATCAAGGGCATTGAGTATTTGAGATATAAGAAACTCATTCATACAATATATACAATTACAAAAATAATAGATATCATAACAAAAATAAGAAAAAGAAAGCTTAGTAAGATGAAATGAAAATATGATACAAAACAATTTTTAAAAAAAATGAATAAATAAGAAAAAAAAAACATTCATGCTTATTTACAATATTTACAGTCAGCTGAGGGAGCTTCAAGTCGAGC